AATCAGAGAGATCCCTCTTCTGATGCATCAGTGCTTCACAGTTAAATTTGAGACATGGAAATACAAGGCACACTACAAGATATAATGAGTTCACAGGTATTTTTTTTCCAAACTGCTTATTTGTTACAGATGTACCCACAAATGTATAAATTAAATGTCAAGCAGTTAATATGTTTTCAGTGTATGCTTAAGAGTGTCTGAATTCACATCAACTATTCTCAAAACCTCAAAAACAATGTGAAGTTTTTTCTAACATCCCTATGACATAAACTAAGCACTGATGGAACATTATACCGAAAAATATTATGCAGAAGCCTTTAATTTTTCTGATGGCTGAAGATTGATATGATGGCAAGACCGCAAGAAGGTTAATGAAGGCAGCTGTTGGCCTTTTCAGTTTTCAGTCCAGGTTTTCTGTCTTTTGGTATATTAGTTAATAACATTTGGTAGTTCCATAGATATTCCTTTTTTTTTTTTTTTTAATAATTGGACTCTATACACAGAATTTTTTGCCACTCTTAATTTTTGTCATACACACAGCTGAGTGAGTCAAAGGTAGCTTCTTGCTTCTGCAGCATCTTTGAAGTCTCATCATGTTTGTGCACCGTGTCCTCTTTGCAGTGATTCCAGTTCAAGATTTTTGGAAGGTTCCTGTTGCCAGCATACCTGTACTACTTGTAAGGGCAGCTGACCAGCTTTGGAAACCTGTCAGGAGCCACAGGCAGGTTCCAGTACCCTGTCGGAGACCGTGTGATTGAGGAGGTGAAAACTTCCTCAGAAGAGTGTAAGGATTTGATAGATCCCATTACATTACAACTTCCAAAAGAGTAGAACACCATTTTCAATTCAGATTTTGTCTACCAAAACAGTCTAGAAAACCTCCCTTGGCAATTTCCTGTGCTGACTAGGTTTTGGAGACTTGTATACACGTCTGTAGTAATTCAATTACTTGAGGCTCCATAATGAACACAGGACTGAATGGCTGTCAAATTTCCTGTCTCCACATGAAATCTCTATCTTGTAGTTCAAATACCATTTGCAGGCATTCTGGTTTAGTTCTGGAAATCAAGGTTATAGTCATCATAATTGTAGCATCCTTTAGAAAAAAAGACTGAATTTTCTTGTATCAAACAACCTGGGTTTATGTGTCCCATCCCCACCCCCTCACTCCTCCCCCAATTTGTAGCATCACTAGGTTCATACTTTTAATGTTTTTATGTGTCATAAATCAGTCAAAAGTCTTCAGCCTGCTTTTCAAATGTGAAGAAAATCAATCCATATTCATTAAAGTGCCAAAAATATCGAGTAACTTATAAAACATCCTTTCAGAAATAAATGTTACGGAATTTATTGAGTTTTGGGTGGGGGGTCAAAGATAGAAGCAAGACTTCATGCGTTCTATCTCCAAATGCATGGTGCTTGCCATAAACACAAATTTGAATCAGCTTTCCTGCCCCACCTTTTGTAGATCAATGAACTTGACTAAAAGAAAATGCATGCATGACTAATAGAGTCACTTCCGTTCAAAAGCGGTAGAGAATGCTAGAAAGAAGCTCTTAAAGCTGAAATTATGTGGAAGGCCATTCATCTTGGCGCTCTTCAGCTGCCTCTCACTGCTTTATCTGACAGCCTCTGTCTGTCCTTGCCAGTCAGCCAGACAACACGGATGATCGGGAACAAGATTTATCCCCTTATCCCTTGGTGAGGGACCTCTCTTACTTGTGGGTTATTCAGAAAAATGGTTCCCTTGGAGAGCTCTGATTCTGGAATTCAGCTGTTTTGGAAGGTGCTTGCAGGGGGTTTCTGCCCCGCTCCTGTCTAACCAGGGGATGTGTTATGTCACCATAATGAACTCGGTGGTGGAGGTGGCTAGAATTGCGTCCGCCTTGGTGACCGTGCTTGAAGCATTTCTGTACCTTTTACAAGCATCGAGGCTTTTTTTTTTTTTAATACCTTCCGTTCAACCCAAACACCCTAGAAACAGAGATGCCTTTCGTTAGGCAAGTAAGCACAGGCAGAAATGATCAAAATGATGCATTTTATTGTTTCATTTTGATCAGTTATTTACCCCTTGGTTTAAACAATTGAAAGCAGAAGCAGGAGGCAGAAGCGAGCGGGGCCTGGCGGGCGGCTCCTGCTCTCGGCGTGTGGGGCGGCGGCCGCCAGGGGTCAGGCGGGAGCCGCGAGGGGCCGTGAGGGGCCGGGCGGGAGGAGCTGTGTGCCGGCGGCGGGTGCCAGCAGAACCCGATACGGTGCGATCTATAGAAGCAAGGTACAACTGGAATAATGAAATTTCAAAAATAAGCCCTTTTTAAAGCCTGGTTGTAACAGTCCTGCTGGGTATTGTAAATGCCTCAGGTGCACTTGATACTGCTGTTACGTTCCTGGCCCTGGCTCCTAATTTTTATGGAAAGATGGATTGAACTTCAATTTAGGAATATTCGGTAATCCCTCTCAGGACATACTGTAACAGCTGGTATTTCTGTGTTGCAGCAAATCGATTCCATACAGCAGTCAGCAATGCCTATGGCTGGGCTCCGGCAAAAACTTCCAAAGCATTTTAAATAAAGTGAGCCAAAGAAAATAGCATCATCACTGCAAAAATGTAGCTTAATTTGCACGTTAGGAAAAAAAAATCCCTGTCCCATTCCAGCAAAATATTAAGCATTTTACTGGTAAGGATTTCATCAGCTCATTTATTTTTCATTAATATATATTTAGGATCTGGGGGGAATAACTTTATGTTGTATATAAGTTTCTTAAATAATGAGGAGCTGGATTTTTTTTCCCTGAATGATTTACTGTGAAATAAAGAAAAACAAACTGATGGAGTTTAAATACATTGCATGTATGTAGATCAGCAAGATTTTCCACATTTTGCAGTGAACTTTAGGGAAATTCTTCTTGAATTTTTGATTAATAGTAATGTGCTTATAATGAGAATGCCTTGTTTGGCATTTTTTTTTTTAATAGATGAAAGTACTTTAAGCTGCATATAACTCAAAGATGTCCCATTAATAGTCAATAGTTTTGTTTTAATCTGTTTCTTACACATGCAAAAAGTGGAAATGCCTCCATCCTTTGTGCGGCTGCCGTGGTGTGCTCACGCTGGGGACTGTCCCTGAGCTTGGGACAGGGCTCTCCTTTACGTGTTAAACAGAAAACAAGCAGAATTAATCTAAAATGAATATGTTCCTTTTTAATTGGTACAACGTGTCCTTGGCTACGATGTCTTTTTTTTTTTTTCTTTTAAACTTCACCCTGGCTAGCTTTGCATAAAGACGTTTTACAACTTTGTCATCATAAGATGAGCTTTCCCTCTGAAATACTTAAATTCCTTATCCCTGTTTTAAATTTTAAGTTAATGGATTTTTGTGCTGATTTGATGCATGTCAAAGTATTTTTTTGGAAGCTGATGCTTTTTTACTGAAAACTTACTTTTTTTTCTTCACCACAAACTTTTATAACCTAAAAAGCCCCAAACTCTTAAACAGTGTTAGTAGACAGGTTTTTAAGTTCTTATTGGGTTCTTTTCATCATAGAAGAAGTTGACCAGAGTGTAACTTGTGCTGTATTTGCTGTCTTACTTAAAAAGTCCACCCAGATTCACTGGGTAAACAATTAGGGGACAAAAAAAATGAAACTTAAAAGTTGCCAGACTATTTAAACTATAGGCTCATGCCTAGGGATGAGTTAACAACTAGCTTATATCTACTAATTGATTTAAAACTTACTGAACAAAATCTCGTGGATGGCCCTTAATATGTTGCAATACTTTTAGCTACATGAGGACTTTTTTTGGTGAAAAACAGAATTTTGAACAGCATACAGTGTTTACAGCACCTGTATATTACTCTTCCACAAGACTGTTGCCAAGTACAAATGTGTCCAAAATATGCATTTTCAGAGCCAAGATGACTTCAAAAGTCATTCTGATTAATATGAATGTGCTTTAAAAAAACCCAACAAAAAACAAACCAGCAATAGCAGCAGCAAAATGCTCTATTTGTTTATTTTCTTTTGCTAAAGCAGAACTATGCTGCTTTCTTTCTTCAAGGATCCTTTTTGTTTACTGAAATGTGGAGAAAACCCTTGTTTTCTGTTAGCTTCTACTTCCCCCTTTCCCTTTCTTTACCCTGCAAACACATCAGCCTCTGACCTGCTATTAGTAGACATTTCCAGTCTTAACTCTGACTTTCTTCTAACAAGTTTGTGTTCCAGTTTCATATTTTAACATACTTGAATTTAAATACATTCACTTATATTTGAGATTAGTTTTAACTTTTTTTACATTTGCTCTGAATTTTCCTCAAGAAGTGGTTAAAAGAAAGACCCCACATTTACTATCAGTAGGCCTGTGCAATTATTAAAAAATATGTGTTAAAGAAATACTGATTTTGTAGTAATGAATCACAGAAAAATTCCTTACCTGGTAATGAACTCTGCGAATCAAACTGCAGTTTACCTTAGAGAAGCGTTTGCACTAGTCCTGCTTTTAACAACTCCAGTTAAAAGTCAGATTACATTTCCAGATTACAGATAAAAATTGAATGTCAGATCTCAAATGACCTGAAAACAGTTGAAAGGAGGTTAAATAGAAACACTGAATAAATTATCATACTAGTAAGCAATTTTATTTTCTTGAGATAAGTAGTAGCAAAATTTGAGTGACTTCAGTTATTCACTGTTTTAATAAAATATTCCTAGACTTTATTTCCAAAATACCCGGCCTGCTGGAATTAAAGAGTATAATTTACATGAGAGAAATGTGTCAAATGATTTTTAATGCAGAGTAGAATTATAGGCTAGACTGAAGAAAACAAAACTTGTTTTACCTGGGGAAACAAAAATCTTAACAGTCATAAGTAAGTGCAAAGCACTTTGTTTTGAGAGTCTTAAATAAAAGCTTATTTCATGATAATGGTTGGATTTGGTTAGCTGCAGTAATTTACGGTTTAACAATGTTCTTAACTGTAAAACTCTGTTTCTGTTCTTTCTAGGAGACGCTGGGAGATAGCATAAATCTTGGTAGACAACTTGGCTGCAAGCAGTTAAACCGAAATTAACTTCTGCCTTGTGGCTGCAGTGCTGGGTTGGGTTCCTGCGGGACACTGCAGACTCAATCATGCCAGCGTTAGCAACGGGAGCTGCGAGTGACACAGGTACGCGGGCCGAGGGGGCTGCACGCCTCCTCCAGAGCTTGTTTGTTCTCAACACATGCTTAATTTAAGACTTTAAACGTAACCTTTTATCCCTGAAGTTAAGTTAGATCTGTGAAACACCACAGACAAAATAAATTAATTTTAAAAGGTCCCACCACCACCTTGTTCCCCTCCGTACGCAACCCCCAAAACAGAACAACTCCAAACGATATTATATATGGATCTGAAGAATTTGGATTCATCTCTGAGCATAGTTCTTACAATGTTAACTGGAAAAAGGAGCAGGAAAAAAAACCATCATGATATCATGCATGCCTTAATATGTGCAGCAGTCTAGACTATCCCCTCTGTGAGTTACAGTTATCAGTGGAGTTATTTCTGAACACAGACTATTCGGTTTGACAACTCTTTAACAAATTAGGAGAAGAAAAATACTGTCTCAAGTTCTGTTCCTTCCCTTGCCTTCCATGTCAGAGCCCAGTTCCTGTCACTGACTGCAGGCAGTGGGAATGCAGCTATGTAGCTTTCCACAGTTTTCACCTTCTTTGCAATTTTAAGTTATATTCAAAGATTAAATCTCATCTTCTTGTTATGCTGGCATTCTCTCTCTCTGACGGTATTTTTGACCCTTTGTTAGGGACAACTGAAGTTAATATTTTTGCTCGAGGGTGTTTGTTAAAAAAGGTGATGCAGCTGAGGTTATAACACAATATAAAGATCCCTCGTTCCACCCCCAGCTTTCCATCCCTGTGCCATGTAGTTTTAAGCCCAAGAAGTAATAGCAGAATTTGGAAAATTAAGAGGGAGATTTCAAGTCAGGAATCCAAAAAGTATTTGTATAAGAACTGCATTTTATTCTTATTTTAAATAGACTGTACAGTGCAGTGATTTTTCCCCCCTATGCCTCAGGTCCATGTAAAATTTATCTTAGATGAAAATGTTAATCTTTAGAATTGATGTGTGTGTTTTTTGTTACAGGGGTAGGGAGGGTTGTGTTTGTGTTTCTGTCTCCTTATTCCTGTGTTTAAGGGATTTGACTGTCACCTCACCAAATCCTACCTCTGCATACCTTTCTTTTCTCCCTCTTTCCCCATGGAGATAAGCGAGTTGCAGCTGTTCAGTTTGCTAAAGCTGCGTTTTTGAAGATGTGTCAGTGTCTACTCTGTATCTTTGCTTTCTTTATCATGTAACCTTTTGTGTCCTTTCAAAATGTGCCTTAATTTTTTTTTTTAAATTATTATTCATTTGTTGTTTAAAGAATGTTAATATGTCCAAAAGTAATAGTTGTGGACATCATCTCTGAATAAAGGAAGAAAAGGGCTCCAAAAAGTGAAAAAAAAAATCTTAATTTTAAAATAGTGTGTGTTAAAATGCCCCTACAAACATGTTTTACTGAGCTATTTAATCAGTACGATGCTGCAAATACACCCTTAATAATTAAGATGTATGGTAAAGCTCAGGTATCTCCATTGTCCCGTGAAATCTATCATAAAATATGATACACACCATTAATATCTTACTGTTAAATAATACTTGTTAAAAACTTTTTTTTTTCTACTGCAAGTTGTAAATTGTTTCTCTAAATAAAAATCGGCATTTGGAGAGAAAAGAGAGTAATTTGTTTTTTATTCCACTTCCTTTACAATACTTCCTGATGGGGCTGATAGGCATTTAAGTATTTTTGGAATGGTTACATCAAACTGTGCTTTCTACCCTGGTTATGGTGCAGGTGGTTTCTAATCGAAGCCCTGTTCTCCTGCTGTTCCTCTCACTGGTAGATTAAAAAAAGTGAAACAGAAAGATTTCCCTGCCTCTGTTGTTCCTTGGTGGATAAGCTGGTGTTCCTCTCGCCCTCCCTGCACAGACTGGTGTTGTGACATGTAATGAGTTGAAACTGCTTTAGTCCATGAGGGGTCTTTTTGGGGCACTGGAGGGTTGGCAAGTCACTTAGTGGGACCTTTAGGGTAGGGATACAACCTTGTTCAGTCTGTTTGCTGAGACTCTCTTTTATAAATGCATTCAGATAAAATGCAGCCTAACCTATTTTTCTGTCTGATGGATCCTGAGTGAAATAAAAGTCAACCTAGATTTAAAAACAGATGAAAGAATTCACTGAGGACTAGTAAATAGAAATGTATCATCTGTGAGTATTGAAAGTTGCCCAGTCATGGACCATTGGACACTCAGTCACTAGTATGGGAGCATTAATGATTTTCTTTTTTTTTTTTAATCTAGTCTGAAGCCTCAGACCACTGTCAAAAGCAGGAGAGTGTTTGTGAGGGGCCATATTTGATCAGACTAAATGTTGACCTGCTTGTGTCAATGTGACATTGCCTTTACTTCATCAACAGCCTTTATTAGAAGTGTCACCATGTACTTGCAGCTGCTTCCTTATATACTTGCTTTTGTTATACCATGTTTTAACCTGTATATTCTTCTGAACACAAACCATGCCTCTTAAATCTGTTTTGAGAGTCATTTAAACTATGGTAAATCAAAATCATGGCTACACTATTTGCAATCTTTTGTTTAAAACATTGTTCTACTAGAAAGGGACTTTTAAATTAATCTCATTCCTTACCACTAACTGTAAGACAGAGGAGAAAGGCTTATGTATAAGCACATGCTTCCTTCTCTTCCACTCTCCATTAGCCATATAGAAAACCTATTTTTATCCTACAATAATTTAAAAGAGTTACTCATTGTTTATAACGTGTGTGTGTGATCCTCCCTCAAGGTTTATAGTCTTGTCAGTGTCAGGTCAAGATCATCTTAAAGCAACCATCGTGAATGGGAGGCTGAGCTCACGCCTGGGGCTGCATCTGACGCTCTCAATAGTTTGTGTTGCAGAGTCTGCCTGACCTCTGTGTGCGAGCCCATCAAATAGAGTCTGAAGGCTGAGCAAGAAGACCTGTATTTTTGCAGGAAAAGCAAGTCTGTGAGATCTGGCATTCACTTGTCTGGTATATTTAGGAAGATTTAAGATTGCAGTTCTGGCTTCACATTAGTAGATGGCAGCTTTGTTGCTGACTTTGGTGGAGCCAAGATGACATCATTATGCTTTAAGTGTTGTTTTAATGTGAAAAACATCGTAAACTTGTTACAGATTTCTTTCCTCTCAACGCTGTATCAAGCTTGCTTAACTGACGAATTTAAAAATGCTTTTCTGTTTGTCCTCAAAAACTAGTGCACCAATGTGCAAAGCAGACTTTGTGCTTTTGATTCATGTATTGTCAGCAGGAAAACCATATTTATGGGCCAAGTTTAGCCACCAAATAAAACTGTGTGAGATTGCTTATATACAGTGAAAGTCAGAAGCAGTTCTTGAATTTGAATATTGTAAATTCTAGAAAGAGAAAATGTGCAGGGCTTACATTTGTTTCTTCTTGAGAATGTATAGGAGCAAGCACTGTGCCAGATAGGGGAGTATTTTCGGTATTGCAAACCTACAAAACTAACATGTTAGTTTTTTAATTTAAAAAAAACAATACATTTGTTACTAACTGAATTGTAGTTCACATGACCTTCAAAATATTCCAGTTTTTGGTGTTTTCTTCTCTGTTTTGTAATAATACTTAGTAGATGTGCGAAAGCTGTTCTAAATGCTAGGTATTTTTCCAAACTGCATTTTTAGTAGTGTATTCTGTGATTCTTTAAGAATTCCCTTGACCTCTGAAGCTGAGTGCTGCTGATGTGGATGTACTGAATGCTGGTGGAAATATTTTGCTGCGATAGCTCCACAGTCCATATGGATTACCTCCCGGTGGCGCCGGCCCACTGCAGGCAGTGCGAAGTGCAAAGGAGATTTTGCAGTCATCGGAACATAAAAAGATGTTATCCTTGCTTTTATTGTTTTCATACAGTTGGCTTCCCTTTATTTACTACTATATTAATGCATTTTAATCAGCTTGTGAGTTTCAGTGGGATCTTTTCTAAGCATGCTTGACAATGAAAAGGATAAAAAGGAGAAAGAAAAGAAACACTAATAATATGAAGAAAAAGCTGAGTAGTTGGCTGAGCTGAGAGGGGGGACATCAGAAACATCTATAGGGAAAAAACCCAAATTAATCTGAAGTGCTAAAATTTCTATTTTAGCCTTTTGAACCAGATTTCAGGATGAGGAGGGAGATAGAAATCAGGGAGTTCTATTTTTACAGCATGTTTAAAAAATGTAGTAATGTAAAATGGTGGCCAGAGATCTGGGTTCATTATTATGAGATGAAGAGAAAGGTAATTTAGGAGAGCGATGAAGGAAAGATTTCTGGGAGTAGCTCTTCCGTTGGAGGCTGCCAGGGCAAAGTCTTGCAGGGTGATTGAATCCTGCTCCAAAGTGCCTTTGCTGGTGTGCCGGGGTGGAAACAGAGCGCAGGGAAAACCTTCGCTCCTCTGCTTCCCGCTGCCGCTCACGGCTTAGGCACAGGGGTGCTGCAGCAAGTGCGGGAGGTAAATGATGCCTTCAGCTGCTTCACGATTTCAAGGCTACTGAAATTTCTCACCACACTGAAATGCACAGATATGGCTAGATATTCATGAAAATGGATATGCTAGCTGAGGCAAAATTTATACTGAATTAATAAATAGAGTCAATATTTTATCCGTACATTCTTGATTTCTCCCCATGTCCATCTGCCAGAGGCATTAAATGGCTTTTCAGCTAATGTTAATATGAAAGATTTGGGAAAGTATGAGGTGTATGGCTAACTTTAATTGTGATCTGATTTAATTTTTTAAAATATAACTTGCTGGTGTTGGAAAAGTTATTTATTTTGGTATCAGCATATTTATTTATGGTGATTGTTGGAAAACTTGTTCAAAGTGAAATGAAATGTCTCTAAACTGTTAAACTGTTCTGTTTTGTGTTAATATTTTATATTATGCTAGACTGATTCAGCGGTGTGGAATCAGAAAATGTGCGTAATTGTATTTACTGATGGTAAACTCTTTAAAACTGTTACAGTTCTTGGATGCAAATTTAATTCAAATGGTCTGGCAGGTGAAAC